CACACGTCAAAATTTCAAAAGTCCGTAAACTGGTTTCTACTGCAGATCTGGAAAAAATCATCCATGCCTTTGTGTCATCACGCTTAGACTACTGTAACGCTCTTTTTACTGGTCTCAGCAAAACCTCCCTCTCACGCCTTCAAGCCATCCAAAATGCAGCAGCCAGACTCCTAACCAAATCCAGCAAACGAGCTCACATCACTCCAGGTTTACAGTCCCTCCACTGGCTCCCGGTAGAATATAGAATACAGTTTAAAGTTTTAGTCCTGACCTATAGAGCTCTTAACAACCAGGCTCCAAGCTACCTATCTGAGCTTTTATCCCCACACATCACCTCTCGGAACCACAGATCCACATCTGAAAACCTCCTGGCTGTTCCTCGAACCAGACTGAAAACCAAAGGGGGCGGGGCCTTTCAGACTATTGCCCCCAGACTTCAGAACCCCGTCTCTCCAAAACTGTAGAGGTCTTCAAAAAGCATTTAAAACTCACCTTTTCATCCAGGCCTTTCCCCGCTAAATATGCTGACAGATGGCTTTGTCTTTGTTCATACCCTGACTTTGTTTTTACTCCTGGTTTTGTTTACTATTTTGTCACTGCTATTGTTTTTATGATTTGTTTTTATCAGTTTGAGGTATTTGCCCTGATTTTACTCATGTTGTACAGCGCCTTGTGGTTCATATCTGCGAAAGGCGCTTTATAAATAAACTTTTACTTACTTACTTACTTACTTACTTAGTTACTTACTTAGTTACTTAGTTACTTACTTACTGACTTACTTAGTTACTTACTTAGTTACTTAGTTACTTACTTACTGACTTACTTAGTTACTTACTTAGTTACTTACTTACTTACTGACTTACTTAGTTACTTAGTTAGTTACCAGGCAGGTGACTGGGCGTACCTAATACAGTGGCCTGCTAACCGGAAACTGTGTGACGTTTCTGTGATCCTCAGCTCCGGTTGCCACGGCAACAGGCCCAAACTTCTCCCTGGCGGACCTGGACAGCCCTGGCTATTACAACATCAACCAGGTGACCCTGGGGCGGCGTTCCATCACCTCCACCCCCTCCACCAGGTAAAGCAGCTCCCTGATGACACCGTCAGCACTAATGCGCTTACAGCTCTCTAAACAGCCTTTCTGCTCTTTCTTCCCTTTCTCCTTCCTCATCACTAATCCTACTCATCGACTCATTTTCCCTCCAATTTGTCCGTTGTCCCGCCTGTGCCCCCCCCCCCCCCCCCCCCCCCCCCCCCATGCTGCAGGACTGAAATGGAGCTTTATGCAAGTCTCCCACGGAGGTAGTTACACTCTATGCAGAATATCTCCCTTTGCACTAATGCAACACAGACACAGAACCAGAGCAGCGCACGCTTTGGCCCGGGCGTGTTGCACGCGCTGAACGTGCACATCCTACTTAGGTTATTGGTTACAGATGCATGAATCCATAAGAATCTAGAAAGTTGAACAGCAGTGCGTTTTCAGGGTCTCCTGGCGCTCCATTTGTGGCGCGAGGCCGCGCTGGGCCGCCGTAACGGAGCTGGGTGTTAATATCCTCGCCTCACGCTGGTCTCTGCCTCGTCCCCGGGCTGTAATACAATATTAAAGCCAGTCACTGAACAGAAACTTTGGCTTTGGGAGTCTTTATTAGTCCTGATTTGTATGCAGACTCACGTCTGACTCCAGCGGCTATAAGCTCCCACATCAGTCCCACCGACTAGAGACACTCGGCCCAAAAACAGATGATGTCATCTTTAACTCCTTCTTCCTGTTTGAATGTTGAAACTTTTCTTTTCCTCTCAGCTCCAACAAGCGTAAGTCCATCGACGACAGCGAGATGGAGAGCCCAGTGGACGATGTCTTCTACTCGGGCCGATCCCCCGCGGCAGGCAGCAGCTCTCAGTCCAGCGGGTGGCCCAACGACGTGGACGCAGGTACGCTCGCCGCGGCTAACCCTAACCCAGGAGCAGCGATAGCCTGGTCGTCACGCTTAACACCTGCTGGCTCAGTTATCCCTGCAGCTCTGTAGCCTGTGCAGCTTTAGTGTTTGATGTCTGACTGAAGCTCCGCCCACCTCCTACTCACCTGACCCTCCTCATCACCTTTACAGAAGCAGGTCTTGTTTGTGCTGTTCACATTAAACTTGCAGAGATTTTTAGTTTATCATTCAGTTCACTACAGCCCCACCCAAAGGAAAACGCTTTTTTCTCTCAGCACAAACGGAGGCTCCGCCCACTTCACATTCACAGGGATTTTAGGCGGGAAAATGAGGGTGTTTCCCAATGCCAAGGACCCTTGCCTTGATGTCTTGGCCCCGCCCCGGTTGCCTAGGAGATACGTCGTCAGGATTCGCCTATACGTGTTCCAACGTTCATGTTCCACCGAGGCGTGTGTTCTCCGTTTGTTAGCTGTTTAGCTAGCTGAGCGAGGATACACGGGAGGTGTCTTGTAGCCTAGCCTTGGTCAAACATTACCCAGAATACACCGCGGTGTTTTCAAAAGGACGGCGGATCAGAAGCCGGCAGCTACTTCGAGGCAAATTTCTAGTTTAAATGTAAATGAACTCATTGTAGCTATCAGGCTGATATGTGACGTGTTTTTTTAGATCCAAAGCCGTTAGCTGCGGTTGGTTGTGTGGTAATAGGTGCAGCTTCAGTGGCTAGCGGGTAGTAACTCGCTTACATACGCAAGTCTGCTCCATTCAACCGTTTTCTTTGACCAAGGAAGGACAGTGTCCTCATGAGCAAGGCGCCTGGCCTCGCAGGGCCAGGCTTTGAGAAACACCCTGAGAACCGGTGGAGATAGAAGCTGCGTAGCTTTACGACCCGTTTAGTTTTCCACACACGGATGAAAGAGTTTTATTTGATTTGATTCCTGTTCAGGTCGGGTCTGGTGCCCACCGTGCTGAACCAACAAACGACCAGCTGGCTGAATCCCAGCTGGGTTCGTGACCTCTGGGAACAGAGCCCCATTGACTACTCAGGACCAGTCAAAGTTTTTCAGACTCGATCTTAAATTTTAAATCCAGATTGACCTAATTAGTCCCAGAGAGGATTTATTAGCTGTGGTAACTTCTTATTATTTAAGTTAATTTCATTTGATTCTATTCGAGGTTTGCTAAATTTAAGAAATAAGAAGAGCATCTTGATGCTGAGGCAGGAAACCATCAAGAAATTCAATCCAGCAGCTTGTTTTTGTAGCTTAATCCAGACTAGCTGCTTCTGACTCTGGTGAAGGTGGTCGTGAGTCTACAGCCGGCCTGGAAACACTAGAGTCTGGTGCAAAAGTTCATTTATTGGTAAAATGTTCCTGAGCCTTTAGATGGTCTCTCAGTCTAAGCAGGAGCTGAGCAGCAGCTCAGGAGGTAGAGCGGGTTGTCCAGTAATCAGAGGCTGCTGGATGAATTGAATGCTGCTGTTGTGCCCTTGGGCAAGACACTTCACCCTCCCTACCTGCTGGTGGTGGTCAAAGGGACCGGTGGCGCCCGTACTGTGTGAATGACTGATTGTGTTGTAAAGTGCTTTGGGGGGTTCAAGGACTCTAGAATACAGAATATCAAATACAGGTCATTTGCCTTTTTACTGACATAAACGGACTTTTGCACCATCTTCTCATGTTTCCTGTCTTACCTGTAGAATTCGACTCACCTGTAGACGTCGACTCACCTGTAGATGTTGACTCACCTGTAGAATTCGACTCACCTGTAGAATTCGACTCACCTGTAGACGTCGACTCACCTGTAGACGTCGACTCACCTGTAGATGTTGACTCACCTGTAGAATTCGACTCACCTGTAGAATTCGACTCACCTGTAGATGTCGACTCACCTGTAGAATTCGACTCACCTGTAGACGTCGACTCACCTGTAGACGTCTAACCTGTAGACATCGACTCACCTGTAGACGTCCACTCACCTGTAGACGTCTAACCTGTAGACATCGACTCACCTGTAGATGTCGACTCACCTGTAGATGTTGACTCACCTGTAGACGTTGACTCACCTGTAGACGTCGACTCACCTGTAGACGTCTACTCACCTGTAGATGTCGACTCACCTGTAGACGTCGACTCACCTGTAGATGTTGACTCACCTGTAGACGTTGACTCACCTGTAGACGTCGACTCACCTGCAGACATCGACTCACCTGTAGATGTCTAACCTGTAGATGTCGACTCACCTGTAGACGTCGACTCACCTGTAGATGTTGACTCACCTGTAGACGTCGACTCACCTGTAGATGTTGACTCACCTGTAGACGTTGACTCACCTGTAGACGTCGACTCACCTGCAGACATCGACTCACCTGTAGATGTCTAACCTGTAGATGTCGACTCACCTGTAGACGTCGACTCACCTGTAGACATCGACTCACCTGTAGATGTTGACTCACCTGTAGACATCGACTCACCTGTAGATGTCGACTCACCTGTAGACGTCGACTCACCTGTAGACGTCGACTAACCTGTAGACGTCGACTCACCTGTAGACGTCGACTCACCTGTAGACGTCGACTCACCTGTAGACATCGACTCACCTGTAGATGTCGACTCACCTGTAGACGTCGACTCACCTGTAGACATCGACTCACCTGTAGATGTCGACTCACCTGTAGACATCGACTCACCTGTAGATGTCGACTCACCTGTAGATGTTGACTCACCATATGACCCCCCCGGCACATCTAAGCCACCTGACGGGTGTTTCTGGGTGGAGCAGTGCACTCGGAGCATTTGGTTAAATTATAGTTCTGTTTATAATCACCTTAATTTACCTGCCAGCTGTGATGACGTCACTGTTTAAAAGCATTTGCTGCTCTCTGCCTGGTATCTAACCACCTATTTCTGTCTTTTCCCACCTCCTTCTGTGTCTCCCCCTCTTTTCCTCTGTTGTTAACCCTTTCCTTCTCCCTGTTTGGCCTTCCAGTGCAGCACCATTTGGCCAGTGTGCAGGAGAGGAAGATTAAGCATGAGAGCGATGGAGTGCAGTTTCCTTACCATGGTTAGAACCTTCAACATTATACCTGTGCTCATGTGCTGTTCCTCTGTCGGTCTCCTCAGCATTCCTCCACCTGTCCTGTCTCCTCTTCCTCTGCTCTAGTATGTCCTTCTGCTGCTGGGGGTGTGTGTGAGGGGGGTGCTGTCTATTGTGAGCTGTACAAAATGTGTTGGTAGCCCAGTGGCTCCATAGCATCCACCTGTTTTCCTGCATGATGTTGTTGGGATGAGTCAGATTTCACGTTTTTCTCCAGAACTCACTCACTCGCTCACTCGCTCGCTCACTCACTAGAGGTGTGAATCTTCACTTGTCTCCCGATTCGATTATTGGGTCAACGATTCAATTTGATTGGATATGCCGATGCATAACGATTATTTCATATTGATTTGTTTTCATCGATAAATAGAAGATGTCAGATAATTGCTTTTTATTTTTTATTTTTTTTATCAAAAACGTAATCGACCCAACCTGCCGTCCCTCAAAAGCTCTCCATTCACAACAGGTTAGGACAAAACATGTAAACATTTAAGAAGATTTAACAAAGTAAACCATCTGTTTCCTGGTTCAGCACCACGCCTCAGGCTGAGAAAAACACGCTTTCAAAAACTCACAAAGTCTAAAAGAGTACTGAAAACCTACAGGACTCATCATGTAATAATCAGATACAATAATGGGTTCATATATGAGTGTTTCATGTCTCTGAGCAGCTCTAGAGTCAGATATTTATGCCACAGTTGAAGGATGTCAGAAATAACACCAAATGAAATGTTTGACTTAGTTTATTTTATTTGAACCCAGCGGTTCGTTTCTGAAATGTTGGAGAATGAATCAAGTTCTGTTTGATGCAGAAAATAATAAAACATAAAACAAATTCTACATTTCCAATAATATTTAAGATGTGTGTTTTATTCTTTCTGATAATAACACCAGCAGAAGGCTGTGGGCTGGATTAGGATTAAATTACCCAGCTGATGGATCTCCTTCACCAACCAGCTAACTACAAGCCTTTCCACTAGCCTGTCCTGTGGGACCCTCACCATGTGACCCTCATGTCCATGCTGTCTCTGGAGGAGCAGATAGGAGACAAGACCTCCTGTAACTTAAGATGAACCAAAGCTTCCTCCCAGTTTCTCTTTAAGCTGAATTTAACATCAGTTTATCTTCATGAAACAAAAGAATAAAATGGAACAAGAACTTCTATCGTCTATTTCTCTCTCCTTTTAATTTCTCCGTGTCCCTAAATAAAAGAGACGGATGATTTTGCTGCAGCCGCCGTCACGGACCCACTCACGCCCCTCCACCGCGCCTCCGCACAGCCCAAAATCTCCGCAACGCGCACCTAGGAAATTTTCTAACCACGCGGACGGTCGGACGCGGAAAAACATGGCGGACCGGCAAGAACTAGTATGGCAGAGGTTGGTAAATACAGACATTTGAATGATTCAGCTCTCAGAGATCACCGTGATCAACATGTTGTTAATAATTCTTGGAGAGAAATAGCTCGCACTGTCGGAAAAGACGAGGACGCTGTTAAAAATGCTGGAATGCCATGTTGTAAACAGTAATTTCTACTTCTACTATGGTGTAGTGTTGGATGCATGCCGTAGAGCTCCATGCTGCCCCCTACAGTTTGGGAGAATATTGGCTCACCGCAGAGACGAGCTGCATGAACCACAAACGCTGCGAGTTGTGAAGCGTGTTCCATCCGCGAGCCGCATCACCGCGCGGAAAGTAAACGCGTCAAGCATAAACCAAGCTTTACTGCTGGTGGTGGTCAGAGGGACTGGTAGCTTCTGTTAGTATGTCCCAGGGCAGCTGTAGCTACAATGTAGCTCATCGCCACCAGCATGAGGGATTGATGTGTAAAGGGCTTTGGAGTCCTCTGACTGAGCGTTGGATTATATAAATGTGCATTATTGTTATTATTATTATTATTATTATTATATTAAGTGGAGGAGTTTAAGCATCTCAGGGTCTTGTTCACGAATGAGGGTAGGAGGGATCGGGAGATCGACAAGCGGATTGGTTCAGCATCTGCAGTGATGCGGACGCTGAGCCAGAAAGCCAGGCTCTCGACTTACCGGTCGATCTACGTCCCGATCCTCACCTACGGTCATGAGAAGAAGAAGAAGAAGAAAATATCATTTCTATAGCGCCTCTCAAGATAAAAATCACGAGGCGCTTCACAAAAACAAAAACAAAAAATAAAAAAATAAAAATATAAAAAAGAATTTAGAAAATGTTTAAAAATATATTTAAAATGAGCAAAAATAGGCAATTGGGATTTAAAAGAAAAAATGTAAAGAAAGAGAGAGAGTGAACAGGAAAGAGGGAAACCAGTGGATCCTGAGGAAGGTGGAATAGGTGGGGAGAGCAGAATAAAGAGAGAGAGGTGAAGAAGGTCATACAAAAGCCAGCTTGAACAAGTGAGTCTTCAGCTGCTTTTTAAAGGAGACCACTGAGTCCACTGATCTCAGGCTCAGGGGGAGAGAGGTTCAGAGTCTGGGGGCCACAGCAGCAGATGATCTGTCACCTTTGACCTTTAGCCTGGTGCTGCACAACCAGTAGGCTTTGATCACTGGACCTCAGGGACCTGCTGGGGGTGTAGGGACTGAGAAGATCACCAATGTAAGATGGTGCTTGTCCATGTAAGGCCCTATAGACCAGAACCAGGATCTTGAAATGAACCCTGAAGTTGACTGGCAGCCAGTGAAGCTGGAGGAGAAGCGGGGTGATGTGGGTGTGTTTGGAGGACTTGGTCAGAAGCCGAGCACAGGCGTTCTGAACCACCTGTAGACGGTTCAGGGAGGTTCTGCTCAGACACGTGAAAAGAGAGTTACAGTAGTCTAAGCGTGAGGAGATGAAGGTGCGGAGAGCTGCTGACTGTATCGAGCCCTCATTAGAAGCCTGTGAAAATTTGTTGCTTTTCTTTATTGAGAAGGTCTCCTTAACAAGGGCTCAAATCTGTCCTTGTGCTCATGACCCCTCAGTCGTTGTTTCCTGCTCTGCTGTCTTTGGCAGGTTTGAGCCTGTGACTCTGTCATGTCTACAGGAGACTGTTGGTCATCTTAAGCCTGCTGGGTCTCCAAATGATGCTGTTCCTCCTCGGCTTTTAAAAGAGGTGTTACCTATAGTTGGTCCTTTGGTTCTTGAGCTGGTAAACCATAGTCTGATGTCAGGCGTTGTCCCTAAAGATTTTAAACATGCAGTAGTCACACCTCTGATTTAAAAACCTGCTCTTGATCCGCAGGATCTTGCGAATTACAGGCCTATCTCCAAACTACCGTTTCTTTCTAAAATTCTTGAAAAGGTAGTTTATAGCCAAATATTGGCCTTCCTGGAAAAGCAAAACGAATTAGAGGTTTTCCAATCTGGTTTTAAACCCTTTCACAGCACTGAATCAGCCCTTTTAAAAGTTTTTAATGACATATTCTAAGCTACTGATGCTGGGGACTGTGTTGTTCTTGTGCTTTTAGATTTGACAGCTGCTTTTGAAACTGTGGATCATGCCGTTTTATTCTCTCGTTTAGAGCACTGGGTGGGCATTAGCGGCACAGCTCTGGAGTGGTTCAGGTCCTATTTGGCGGGGCGAACATTTTGTGTCAGTCTCGGTGACTATGTGTCGTCCTCCGCTCCGCTCTTGTGTGGTGTCCCGCAGGGCTCAGTTCTAGGCCCTCTCCTCTTCTCTTTGTATCTTCTTCCTCTCGGTTCTATATTGAGAAAGCATGGCATTGCCTTCCACTTGTATGCTGACGACTGTCAGATCTATGTCCCTCTAAAGAAAAAAGGCAGAAACCTCATACAGCATTACTTCAGTGTCTTGACGACATAAAGGCTTGGATGTCTGAGAACTTTTTAAAATTCAATGATAAAAAAGACTGAGGTGATGATTTTTTGTAGTCCTACTGAGACCCCCAATGTGTTTGTAGATTCCTTGGCCCAGTTTGTTAAACCAACTGTCACCAACCTGGGGGTCAAAGTGGACTGTGATCTGAAGTTTGAACATCAGATTAGGGCGGTGGTAAAATCTGGCTTCTTTCACCTCAGGCAGCTGGCAAAAATAAAGCCAATTCTTTCACGGCAGCACTTCGAGACAGTGATCCACGCCTTTGTAACCACTCGGCTGGATTACTGTAACACACTGTACATTGGGGCCAGTGCATCATGTATCAGTCACCTACAGAGGGTGCAAAATGCCGCAGCTCGTCTTTTAACTGGCACTCGAAAGTTTGAGCACATTTCCCCTGTTGTAGCTTCACTTCACTGGCTGCCCATTTCTTTTAGGTCTCATTTTTAAATCCTTTTGTTTGCTTTTAAAGCCGAGTGTGAAGCAGCTGGTATGAGGATCAGCTCTTCTAAATCTGAGACCATGGTCTTGAGTCGGAAAAGGGTAGAATGCCTTCTCCGGGTCATGGCCTCGCCCCCTCTTATCTCTCTGACCTAATACAGCCTTACACTCCCTCCCACTCTCTCAGGTCTGCTGATCAGCTGCTCCTGATTGTACCCAGGACTGAGCATAAACTTAGAGGAGATCGCGCTTTTGCTGTAGCAGCTCCAAAACTGTGGAACGAACTTCCATTAGAGATAAGACAGGCCAGTTCCTTATCTGTTTTTAAGGCACTCCTGAAAACCCACCTCTTTACCCTGGCTTTTGATACCTTGTGAGATGTTGGTTTCTATTTTTTATTTTATTTTAGCTGTTTTAGGTGATTCAATGCGGTTTTATCAGGTTTTATCAAGTTTTTATTTTTTAATATAGGGCTATTTTAATTTTATGTATCATGTGTTTTATTTATTTATTTATTTATCTTTGCTGTTTTCTGTTTAGTCAATTGTTTTAATGTATTTTCTGTACAGCACTTTGTTCCTGTGCTGGGTCTTTTAAAGTGCTTTAGAAATAAAACTGGATTGGATTGGAGAACTGTCTCAAGTTCAGAGCGGGACAGAATGGGACTCAGCTTAGCAACGTTCCTGGGATGGAAGAAGGAAGAGCGAACAAGAGA